ACAATTTCATCCCCTCCATTCTCTTCTCGAGATTATGGGCGCACGCACACATGTGCCCGCCATGAGTTTCAAGTTACTACCAGGTCCAGGACTTGAACCATGGTCGGCCATGTGGGAGTCCAATGCTTTAACCATTATGCCACCTCCTGGTCCCCCAAAAAAGTTTCCCCTAAAAGGTCCAGACATGAGGATTAAATACACTAATTTATTTTTAACATGTGCCACTAAGCAGCTCTTTCTGACATCTATTAACCTTTCTATATTTAACAGATCCAAGTTTCAAATAATTACTGTTATGTCTTAGAATACCTTCCAAGTCATCTCACACTTACCTGAAATTTTTACAATATCGTATGCATCAAAGAAAGAAACCAACCAACCCTACAGAGGGTATGCAAATGGTAAATCTTTCCTTGTACCATACAGACTTCTATCAAAGATAGAACAAAACACACATTATGGGATGACATAGTAAGAGGCTCTCAACTTTGAGAGCATTATAAATGCAGATTACTGGCCAGCGTTCAGAGACACTGATCCCATATTCTGTGTAGAACCTAGGACTGTACCCTAGGTTATTCTGAAGCAAGCACCTTAAAACATCAGACCTGAGACTATATGCTCACTATAGAAAGAAAATCTGGAGTTTAAGAAGGAATTATGAACACATACTTTAAAAAAAGTGCCACACCTTCAACACCACACCATTTAACCTTCAGTTAACTTTATACTGTAGGCACTAATAGCACTATCCTTAAGATGAAGAAACTAAAGTTTTAAAAGATGTTAAGAAATATTTGCCCCCTCTGCTATACATTCCCTATAAAACTGAGCCTCCACTGTATCATATATTACCTGAAATTTCTACAAGTTCTATGCAATTTACAGTCTAGGGACCAGCAAGTGACATGGTGGTTAAGGCGCTGACTACTGTTCAGAGTCCTGGACCTGGTAGCTTATTTTCTCACGTGCCCTGCCCCCATTCCCATTCCTCTCTGATGAGTGCACATTAAGGGGAAAAAAAGATAAATAAAATTAAATAATTCTTAAAAAAATTATATTCTGTATTTAATATCTTTCTTGGCTTTCCTATGTTCTCACTGTCCTTCCAACTTATTTTGTTCTATGAAAAATTGATAGAGTTAACAGTTATAAAATTTGAAATTCAATAATTTTATAAATATTCCCCTATAATTTCTTGAAACGTAATTTCCTTATCACACTTACCTTCCCAGCTCCAACACAATCTATAGTTTCACTGTATCGTATAAATTATAACCTTCTGTAATATCACCAAAATACTTTTAAATTTTAACAAAATTAAAACTCCAAGGTACTTAAAAGGAAGAGAAAACTAATTCTGAGGGGAATTAGCAGTTTAAATGATAGCAATCAAGCAGAATATCTTTTAAAGTAAGAAATACAAAACTGTCTAACTCACCTGTAACATACCAACAATCTCTACCTTATTGAAAAAGATAAAGGAGTGAAGTGTTGACAACATGTTTTCTTCAAAGACTGAAGGGGTAGGTAGAACCATATCCTGTATGTATTGAACTCTGTATGTCTGGTGTATTTTTTGTTTCAGCTCAGGATCTGATATGGGAATCACTTCTTTAAACTTGGCTGTTTTTGTTAGAAATTCTCTGTGTTTTCGTGGTTGTGATAAAGCAGGATCATACTCTAAACATCCAATGACGTCCATTATACATTCCTCAGAGAACATAACTTCAAAAAGAGCAGTTCGATTCAGGAGGAAGATGCCTTTGATAATTTCATACAAGTGATGCAGTCCTTCAATATTTTCCAAATCTTCACACACGTGAAAAAGCTCTAAGAGCTTTTTAATATAACCCTCATTTTCCAGTGCTAGTGCAAGTTTTTCACGACGAAGGGGGGAAGGTAAAGATGATGCCACAAGTTCTGCAATTTCTTCCAGGCGACTTAATTCACAAGATGGCAACTCTAAACCTGGTGATGACATATCATCAAAACGCTCCTCTTCAGATTCATCCACGAGGTCCTGAGTGATGTCCACTGAAGGGTCTTTTCCTTGAACCTATGATAAAGAACTTCTGATAGATGACAAAATATAAACCAGTAAACCTAAATGATGTTCTTAGATGAATATGAGATGCTAATAGAAAAAAAAAATTTCCAGTTTCAGACTTTTTCAAATTTGACACAACTGCCTACTTTTCAAAGTTACATTTCTCCAAATAACACACAGACTTTCAAATTTAAGGAAGGCAGCCCAAAATCCAGAGATAAATGAGCTTCCTCATAAAGAATAAAACTTATTGGCAAGACTAACTTTCTAAGACAGGTTAAACTGAGATTCTAGACTGATGAAAGAGTTCCATGGAGACCTACAAAATAGAACAAAAAAGCCTGAAGCTAAAATATCCACTTATATGTCATTAGACAGCCCCTCTTTTTCAATAGACCAGGCCAAGCCAAAGACTGTGCCACAGGAGAATTACCACCAAACTCTTCAATACTGAGGCTGATGTAAAATTCAATACAAAATAATATGGTCATCATAGAACATATCTATGTTAATTAACTATAAGCAAGGAAAATATTTTAATGTTAATTGAGTCTGGAAACCAAGGACCAAAGAGCACAAGCTGTTTTTAGAACAAAGTGGGTCACTGTTCTGCTATAAATGCCTGACAATAGCCCAAAATACGACCAAGAAAAACTGGGTAAGATACAAGTGTACCCACACAAAAATGTAGCCACATACAAAGCAAGCACCACCTATATAGGTTATAAAGCTACTCTCAAGAGTAACTTTTGAAAAGTAACCAAACTAGGAAAACTTTTCATTCTTACTCACAAACCTTGTAGCCTCCCAAGATCTCCTAGAAGCCCTAAAAATGACTACATTTCACCTTATGACACTGGATAGGGCTTTAAAAAGAGGTAACTTGAAGTCTTCATGATTAAATACATCTAAGGTAAAAACATATTTTCGCAAAAGGTCAAGAATAGATTTTGAAATGAATCATATTTTTCTATTTTTGCCCCAGAATTTGGGACACTGGCCATGAAAGCAACTCATCAGAGCAAAGTAGAATGCTAAATGGATGGGAAAATTAGGCCGTACTATGAAAGAGCTAAGAAACTTCAATTGCTTAGCATGCTCAAGAGATATGATATATATTAGAAGGAAAAATGGTCTGAAATATTTGTCTTGAAATATGCTGCAAAGTCACAGGGAAGTGACCTCAACCCATGGGAAAGCACCTCCCAAAGGAGCCAAGCACACATATAGCTTCTACCTGGCATGGTCTCAAGTAAGCTCTGGGTGTGTAAATTAAGTTCTCATAACAGCTTTAGGTTCCTAATATCCAAGTAATGGCTTTACTCATAGAAAAATGGTAGATTTTGATTAATATACCAAATTAAAAGGAACGAGAGTCCTTATAATAGAAGCCATCTTTTTTTTTCTTTTCTTTTTCTTTTGGAGAGGCTTTTGCTATAGGGTGTGTGCACTCGCCAGACAGACAGAGACAGACAGAGAGATAGAAAGTGAGAAATCACCCTCCATAGGGGATGGCCACGCCGCAATCCCTTCTCCTCCATTCTCCTCTTGGGATCTTGGGCATGCACGCATATACGCCCGGCGTGACTTTAAGCCACCGGGTCCAAGACTCGAACCGCGGTCGACTACGTGGGAGTCCAGCGACATAGCCATTACACTAACTGCTGGTCCCTTAGAAGCTATCTTTAAAAAAAAAAAAAAGAAGCTATTTATTTATTTATTTTCCATAGGAGGAGAGACAGAGAGAAGAAAAGTGAGAAATCACCTCCCCTAGGGGACATGGCCATGCTGCAATCCCTTTTCCTCCATACTCCTCTGGGAATTTTAGGTATGTGCACATGTGTGCACACGCAAAAATGCACTTACTTCTGTGGAACAAGCCAGGATTCAGAAAACGACTGGGAAGTATAGACACAATCTGTTAAGAGTAAATGAGAAATGATGCCTTGAATGTAAAACTACATAAAAGTTGGAGGGCAAGGCCAGAAGAGAACAACATAAAATAGCCAGTGATTTCTAGAAACATTACTATAGAGAAAGTATGAAGTATTACTACCTATGTCCCAAATGAAGACAATTGAGAAGTTTTTGGCATTAAAGACAAAGGAAAGAAATAATGAAAACCATATAATATTAAAAAAGAGTCAGGCATGACAGTTACAGATTGAGTCCAGGTTAAATAAAGGGCTAACAAAAGACTGTATCCAGTGCAGAACTGTTCAACTCAAGAAGGTAAAGAGCAAGATTTGTCTGAATACTAGATGCTTTTAGTATAGCGTGAACTCCTTGATCTTGTCTTTCTGTGGGGCAACTCCACAAGATAAAATTGAGAGGATGCCTTTTTGTACTCTATTTTGCCAAATATATAAAATGAAAACAAGTAAGCTATAAAAACTGCTGGACGAGAAGCACATGAAAAGCAAAAAGGCTTTCTCCTAGCTATTTTAGAAGAAAGGAACAGCTCAACAGGAAGGTTAATTTTTTTCTTTTTTTTGGAGAGGTTTTTGCTATAGGGTGCACCAGAAAGAGACAGAGAGACAGAAAGCGAGAAATCACCCCCCAGGTCCCGGGGTGGTGGTGGTGGTGGTGGTGATGGCCACACTGCAATCCCTTCTCCTCTATTCTCCTCTTAGGATCTTGGGCACACACGCACATGCGCCTGGCATGAGTGTAAGCCACCGGGTCCAGGACTCGAACTGTGGCCGACTATGTGGGAGTCCAGTGACATAGCCATTACACTAACTGCTGGTCCCAGGAAGGTTAATTTACGAAAAACACAGCTGAACAGAATATATGGCAAAAATAAATTTTACAGGTTAAGGGAAAACTGAGTCTCAAGGACACTGTAGCTTCTATTAAAACTGTGGCTTTCAAACATTGTGGTACATCAGAATCACCAAAAGCAAGGGTTGAAAAACTACAGACAAATTTGGCTTGCACCTGTTTTTGTACATAAAAGCTTTACTAGAAGACAGGCAGGTCATTCACTTGTAAGAGCTATGTATGGCTAATTTGGAACTAGAACAGTAGAGTTAAACAGCTGTGAGAATGCATGACCCGCAAAGCCTAAAATATTTACTATCTTGCCCTTTGCAGAGGAAGTCTGATCTTTTTATTTTGAGAGTTTTTTTTGCTATAGGGCACATGTGCTTGCCAGACAGACAGAAAGTGAGAAATCACCCCCCAGGGGGAATGGCCATGCCCCAATCCCTTCTCCTCCATTCTCCTCTAGGGATCTTGGGCAGGCACGCATATGCGGCCGGTGTGAGTTTAAGCCACCAAGTCCGGGACTCAAACCGCGGTTGACTATGTGGGAGTCCAGCGACATAACCATTACGCTAACTTCTGGTCCCTGAGGAAGTCTGATCTTGAAGTCTGGTTGAAACATTAATTACTGGATCCTATTCACAATTTCTTTTTTTTTTTTTTGGAGAGGTTTTCGCTATAGGGCGTTTGTGCTCGCCAGACATACAGAAAGAGACAGAGAGACAGAAAGCAAGAAATCACCCCCCAGAGGGGATGGTCATGCCGCAATCTCTTCTCTTCCATTCTTCTCTCGGGATCCTGGGCACGCACGCACATGCACCCGGCTTGAGTTTTAAGCCACCTGGGACGCGAACCATGGTCGACTATGTGGGAGTCCAGTGGCATAGCCATTACGCTAACTGCTGGTTCTCCCTATTCACAATTTCTGACCTAATAAGTCAGAGGTGGGAGGGTCTTAGAATTCACATTTCTGTCAATTCCTAGGTCATACTCATGCTTATTTGAGGACACTTTGAGAACCAATGAATTAAGGAATCTGCCAAAGATTATTATTCTCTAGTTAAAATAAATGTGGATGGAAATGGAGAAATCTTTCCCACAAAGCAAAGGACTAAATAATTCCATAACAAGAACCAGTGGCTTTTATCACTAGAGGACATAAAATATGCACGTTCACAAAAGACTGGGAAGATTATGCCACTAGAATGAGCTAGGAGAGTCACTAGGGAAACTCCAGAATCAATTAAGAACATTCAGACTTGGAGTCAAGGCGAAGGTGACTATAGTTAAAAGCCACATCAACGCCAGTGCAATGGTTGATTTTGAGAGTTGCAAGAAGTTACCACAGAGTGGTGTGATCAGATCTGCATTTTAAAAAGATTACTCTGTAACAATGTGGGTTTGGGATGACCATACATGATGAAATCAATAAGCCAGGCAAGAAATTACGGCAGCTTAGAAAACTCTGATGGGATGAAAATGAAGATAAATAAATAGATCTAAAATTTATTATTAAAGGACTGAATGAATATAGTGGATGAGAGAATAAACATCACCCACTAGTTCTTGGTATCAGCAACAGGATGGCATTTACTGATGAGGGAGAGAGTGAATACATCTAAGGTTAGCAGATTTTGTTCACAGTTTTGAACTACAGTATTAAGTTTGAGATGGTAATGAACACTCAAAGGCAGCTAGATATTAAACTGGAGTTCAGTAAAAGCCTAGGTTAGAATCTGGTGTCTATACTTTACATCTTCCTTTGAATCAAGGCTTTCATAGACAGCAATGAAAACATGTCAAAACACCAAATACTTAAAAGAGAACATACTGATTTTCTATTTTTAGTATTACCTGACATATTTTCTCCCAAATTTCATCACACCCGGCTTTTTCTTGAAAGCTAAGGGCCAAGTCATAATTTTCTGCTTCAGACCACACAATCAGAGTATCCTTTGGAGAAAAAAAAGGAGTATAAGTGACTAACATAGAAGACAACAAACTACTGGGTTCCTGGAAAAGTCATGATGCATTTTTACATAGAAAAATATTTCATGGGAGTCAGCAGATGGCATAGTGGTTGGGGCACTAGACTCCCACATGGTTCAAGGCCTGGACTTGGCAGCTCACATCTCACTTTCTCTCTCTCTCTGGTAAGAGGACCCTATGACAAAATCTAAAATAAATAAATAAACTAATAAATACATCTGAAAAAAGGGAAAGAAAAATACTTCATGACTTTCCCACCAACCCAGTATTTCAAAGTATCAGGCAAATAAATCAAAGCAACAAGAATTAAGAACAGTACTCAATTTTGCTTTTTGCAACACTGATTTTTGGTAACTTCTAATGCCTTTTTGCACTCCACTTTGCTGAATCTATAAAATAAAAATGTTTTCCTTAAAAACAAGTATATAAAAAGCACCACAAAATTAGTACCTAATTTTCATACTAAAAATTATAAACTAAGCATTATACTAATCATCTTTGCACAATAAGTTACATTTGTGCTGTTAGATGTCCAAAGAAGTCTGAGCATGCAACAATCTTTTTTTTTTTTTTTTAAATTTGCCAAAGGGAAAGTGTGCTGGGGGGGGGGAGAGGAGAAAGAGGACAGGAGATAGAGAGGAGGAAGAGGGAGAAAGTGAGAAGGCAAGCCGCTAGGTCCAAGATTTGAACCATGGTCAGTCACGTGGGAGTCTGGGTGCCCTTCACCACCACACCACCTGCTACTTGCCAGCCCATTTAATCATTCTATTCTGTCAGGATATGAGCACAAATAACCCACATTATTTCTTCCTTTCTCTCTCTCTCTCATTTTTCTTTAAAGGTTTTTGCCTTAGGGCATATATGCTTGTAGGAAAGAGAGAGAGAGAGAGACAGTGAGAGTTAAAGTAAAAAATCACCCCCAGGAGGGAAGACCATACCACAATCCCATCTCCTCCATTATCCTCCCAGAGATCTAGGGGTACACGCGCACATGTGCCTGGCATGATTTTCAAGTCACTGGGATAGGGACTCAAACTGCACTTGGTCATGTGGGAGTCTAGTGATGTAACGGCTATGCCATCTGCTGGCCCCTTGAATAAAATCATTCTAAAAAAAACAAACAAAACAAAACTTCATTCTTTATTTGCTAAAGAGCACATGTGTTTGCCAAACATAGAAAAACAAAGAAAGGGAAAATGAGAAGCCTCCCAACCCCGCCAGGGGATGGCTATACCACAGCTCCATCTCATCCATTCTCCCCTTAGGATTTTGTGCACACATGCATTCACGCCCAGTGCTTTTTTTTTTTTTGAGAGGTTTTTGCTATAGGGCGCGTGCGCTCACCAAACAGACAGAGAGAGACATAGAGACGGAAAGCGAGAAGTCACCCCCCAGGGGGGATGGTCACGCCGCAATCCCTTCTCCTCCATTCTCCTCTTGGGATTTTGGGCACGCACGCACACGTGCCTGGCATGAGTTTTAAGCCATCAGGTCCGGGACTCAAACCGTGGTCGACTACGTGAGAGTCCAGCGACATAGCCATTATGCTAACTGCTGGTCCCACACGCCCAGTGCTTTAAAAACAAATTTATTTATTTATTTTATTTTTAATTTGACCAGAGAAGGACAGAGTGAGAGACAGAGAAAGTGAGAAAGCAAGCTGCCAGGTCCAGGATTTGAACCATGTCAACCATGTAGGCGTCCAGCGAGGACTCCTAGAAGGAGAATGGAGAAGGGACTGCAGCATAGTCATTCCCCCGGGAAGTGACTTCTCACTGTCTGTCTCTCCAGCAAGTGCACATGCTCTATAGCAAAAATCACTGAGAAAAAAAAAAAATTATAAAAGCTGTACTAAGGAGGAAAGATGACTAATTATCTTCAATGTACCATAAAGAATCCATGATTCTATTAATATTTACTGTAGCGGTTTCTAATCCTTTTCACCAGCAAGAACATTTGTAATTGTTTACACATGTATCCCTGTGTTTGTCCTTTTTTGTTTGCTAGAGGGTGCAGGCACTCCCAGACAGTTGGGGGTAGAGGAAGAAAACACCATGCCATGAGCAACGATCACTTCAAAATCCCTTCTCCTTCATCTCTCCCTCCTTTTGGAATTTTGGGCAGGTATGCACATGTACCTGGTATGTTTCCCAAGCCGCTGGGTCTGGGGCTAGAACCTTGCAGTTGGTCATGTGAGATCCAGCTGCCACCAGCTGGTCCATATCCCATTTTTAGGAATTTTTTCTTTGCTAAACTGGGTGTTAACTCTTTTCAGTCATTTATATAACTATCAGTATGGAGACCAGTAGTCTCTCACTAAACTGAAGTGATATTAGCCAAAAAATAAATGATAATTGGATAGACTATGCAGCATTACTAATAGGAAAAACTGACTTCTATTCAGAACTAAAAAAAGCTCCAAGTCCCTATTTTACTATCTTCAAGGACTTCCTGAGATCATAATTAGAGAAGTAATATGATCCACAGTGACCGAGTAGCTATCTCAAGCTCAAGATAATTTACATTAACATTCTAAGATCGACAAGCAGTCAGGTTTGATTTTTTAGTAGACCTCGTAATTCACCCAAAGCTGAATAACTGATTGGAAAATCTGGATTTAATCTGTAATTCTGTCAGTTACACCAGTTCGCAAGAATATTTATTCATCAAATATTTACTAAGCACTTACAAAACAAAAATACTAAGAGATTTAAGGGGCAAAGAGGCCAAGATATGAATTCTATACCAGCATCTACTGGGTGAGTTGATGCTGAGTTAGGTTATGTAACTTCCCTGTGCCTCAGTGTTGCCTTCATCACAATAGGAATAATACATATTGTTAGAAAACATTGGGGGAAAATAGTAATTTGGGGGTGAACAGAGGAAGAAGTGGGACAGACATATCTTGCCCAAATTAGATGGCCCCTAAAGTTCTGATATTTAGGGGCCAGCAGGTGGCTTGGTGGTTAAGGTACTGGACTCTTACTTGGTTGACTGAGATTTGAGTTCCAGACCCAGAAGCTTAAAACTCACATTGGGTTCGTGTGTGTGTGTGTGTGTGTGTGTGTGTGTGTATGTGTACTCCAAATCCTAGGAGATTAATGGAGAAGGGATTGTGGCATGGCCATCCCCCACAGGGGATGATTTCTCACTTTCTCTCTCACTGTGTCTCTCTGGTAAACACATATACCCTATGGCAAAAACCTAAAAAAAATTTTTTAAAAATTCTGACATTTATCCCTATCAGTTTGAAAAGTGCCATTCCACCAAGCCTAAAGCTACTAGGTTATTGGGAAAGTCACGATGCAGTTTTGCACAGAAAAATATATCATGACTTTTATGACAACCCAACAGTATACTAGTAATGAGACAGACTTAATACAACTGGAAGCAACTGCTCTGAGATAATGTACATTCAGAATTACTTGGAGGCTGATGCATAACTTTATTTATGGTGCAACTAGACATATCCACTCAATTACCCATTTGAGAAATTTAGCAAGTTTGAAAAATTTTTAAATCATTCTTCTGGGGGCTAGCAGATGGCATAGTGGTTATGTCAGTGGACTTCCACATGGCCCACCCGGGTTTAAGTCCTGGACCCAGTGGTTTGAAATTCAGGACAGGTGCACGTGCAAGTGTGTGTGACCCTGAAGATTCCAGGAGGAGAAGGAAGAGGGGATTGCTGCACGGCCATCCCCCCAGAGGAAGAGGTCATCTCTCACTTTCTTTCTGTTTCCAATGAGCACATGTGCCCTAAGGCAAAAACCTCTTTAAAAAAAATTACTTTTGGGGGCCAGCAGGTAGAGTGCTGGTTGAGGGCACTGGACTCTCCCACACTGCCGTTTAAGTGCTGGACCTGGCAGCTTGCTTTCTCACTTTCCCTCCCTCTCTCCCTCTGTCCTCTCCTCTCTGGTTAAATTAAAAATAAAGTTAAATAATTCTTAAAAAAAACCCTACTCTTCTGTTTTTTCTCTCTTCCTTGAAGAGGCTGATTTTCACCAAACCATTCTGCTTGTTTATCAGCCAACGACCTATATGCTGAGACATATAAATTTGCTCATTCTCAAGGTAGGATATTTCCTTTCTCTTAGGATATGCTTTTTTTCCTATTCAGGTGACTAAAAGCTCAAGACATGAATTTAGGAGGCGGCAAGTGGTGTGGTGCTTAGGGTGCTACAGTCCCACACAGCCAACTACAGTTTGAGTCCCAGATCAGATGGCCTGAAACTCATACCAGGTGTGCATGTGTGGGTAGCCCAAAGACCCAGGAGGAGAATGGAGAGGGGACTGTGGTGTGGCCATCCCCGCTAGGGGGTGGCTTCTCACTTTCCTTCTCATTGTCTCTCCCAGTTCCTCCAGTAAGTGCAAGTGCTTTATGGCAAAAACCTTAAAAAAAAAAAAAAAAAAAAAACCACCCACACAAATTTATTGTACTTCAAGTATGGAACATCAAACCAAATGTTATAGTCTCTGGATACTTCCACTGAACTAAAATGAATAAATTTATTAAGAAAATGTTTATATTGTCCTAATATTTGCTGAGACAAATAAATTACCACTACAAAAAGGAGTTAATACAAGCTTTCCTATCTGTGTAATATCAAGGCAAGGCATAACCTTTAGGTATCATGTAATAGGCGAAATATCAAAAAAACCAATACTAATTTCCTTCTAGTAGTATTTTAATAGTCAATGACAAAGAAGAGCACTTTATGAACATGTAGGTAATATTCTTTCTCCTAAATTATTTTCTGTCTATACCCTCAAGACCATGAAGGGAACGATAATGATTTCACTGGCATTGTAGAGTACTTGGTTTATCTTCTGTAAATGTACTGAACAAATACTATTCGATGATACTGCTAGTTGATACTACATAAAAGATTTACTATCAATATTTCTTTGTGCACTGGAAGGGTGTAAGAGACATGTACTCAAATTTTAAGTTACCTTCAAAAACAGGTTATGAAAAAGATGGGAAGACATTAATGTCCTTTTGCACTAGTATCTACAACTGCAAAAGGGCGAATTTCTACCGCTTATCAATAGTTGTGTCTGCATCTGATTATCACGTTAATATTCTTATTCTTTTTGATTCAAAAAAAGGAAACATGGCCAGCTGCATACTTTAAGTCCTGGACTCAGTGGCTTGAAAACCATGCCATCCACATGTGAATGTGCGCCCAAAATCCAGAGCAGATATTGGAGAAGGGATTGTGGTATGGCCATTCCCCTTTGGGGATGATTTCTCACTCCTTAGTGCCCCTATCAATCTCTGGCAAGTGTGTGTGGCCTATACAAAAATGAAATAAAATAAAAACCAAAACTGTTACTGTAATTTTAACTTAAAGAGAATTAAGGCTTAGTTGCTAGAATATCTGGAACATGAACTTGGCTTAACTTAAGGCAAGTTTTCTTTTTAATTTAAAATTATTACTTTAAAAGCTATAGAGACTGGCAAAAAATCCTATTTTAGAATTAGACTCACAAAATGTTATAATCTGTTCTGAATTTATCATGTAAGGAAGGAATCAGACGGTAATTTTCCTCTAATCACAAAATTGAGAGAACTGGATAGGCTATCATTTCAATGTGTCCCCCTTTCCCCAATTTATGTGTTCAGATTTGGCTGTGACAGGGTGAAAATGTAATTCAACTGCGGTATTGAAAGGTGGGGTTTTTGGGTGGAGATTAGGATTAAAGTCATCAGGACAGGACTCACTCCTATGACTGACTCCTACTGAGTTTTTATATAGAGTGAATAAGACCATTAACAGAGACACACACAAACACAGGCCACCCTATTCTCAACCATATTCTTTTATTTTGTTGTGGGGTGGGGATTTGGCTACAGGGTGCATGTGTTTGCCAGAAAAGACAGAGACAGAGAGACAGAAAGTGAGAAATCATCCCCTGGAGGGATGGCCACGTTGCAATCCCTTCTCTTCCATTCTCCTCTTGGGATCTTGGGCATGCACGTACATGCACCCAGCATGAGTTTACAGGACGAGAACTATTGTCAACTACATGGGAGTACAGCGACATGGCCATTACGTCATCTACTGGTCCCGTCTCTACCATATTCTGATGTAACCAGAACACCACCCATTGCCAGATGTGGCCTATGGCCCTCCAAACCAAGAGTCAAATAAACTGCTATTTTTATGAACTACCCAGACTCATATTTTCTGTTATTATCAACAGAGAGGACTAGAACCGTATGTGAGATAAAACATATCTTCAATTTTTTACCTGTTGTTTCTGGTATGCAGTGTTAGGATTTATTTTGGACTCTAAAAGTAGAGAACCTAGGAAACAGAAAAAGACATTCCATTATGATACTGCAAAACAGCAAAATTACATTCCCTTACATATACACACATTATTCATTTTTTTGGGAATATCTGCTGCACATACAAGTTCAGTTAATTTTTTCTTTTTTTTATTTAATTTGACTTGTTATTCCCCCCCCCTCAATTTGACTAAATAGAAAGAGAGAAAAAGGAAAGTGAGAAAGCTGCCAGGTCCAGACTCAAACCAGTCAGCCATGTGGGAGTCCAGTACCTCAACCACCATGTCACCTGCCAGTCCCAGGAAAGATTATTTTTGAAATGACATTAAGTTTAAACATAATAACTTATGCTTACTTTACAGATAATTACTTTAACTTTTTTTCTTTTCATTCTATTGCCAGAGGGCACATGAACTAGCCAGAGAAACAATTTACAGAGAATTCTCCCATTGAGGTGTGCATGCAACAATCCCTTTCCTCGATTTCTCCAGCACATCTGCATTTTGGCCTGCACCTACTCACGTCCAGCATGTTTTAAGTGGCTCTGGGTTGGCATGTGAACTGCAGTTGTCCTTGTGTGTTCTAGCTTTCCCCACACACAAACTTAAGCACTGTGGTACAGGGCCAGACCACTGGTTATTTTTACAAGAAAGACGTGATAATCAAAAGAATGCAGAGAGGATAGTAATAGAAACCTAATAATTTGTGGGCATAACAGGTAGTAAATTAGTACAGAATAAGGACAGATCACATGGATTTAAATTTTTGATATAGTATACAACTCAAAGGAGTATTTCAAAATATGCAAATAAGGATTTCAATGAAATCTGATCTATGCCTCAAGACTAAGATAAAATGAAAACTCATTTTAGGTCTGAAAACACCAAGCATACACAACTCCTCTAAAATAAATATATAAATTACACTTCACTTTCCAAAAGTCTCATTTCTATTTCTTAATACAGAAACTGCCACATTTCTCAATCTTTAATCAATTTATTCCTCATAGTAAGCTAATTTACACATTTCTGTTTTCCCTGGCAGTAACCTAAGACTCACTCTATATTTAGAAAATAACTACTGCTTTGTGAGAAAGAGTACATCTTAAATTTTATTTTTTAAAGTTTTGTTGTCATAGAGCGTGTGCTCTTACCAGAGACAGAGATAGGGAATGTCAGAAATCACCCCCTTGGGGGATGACCACGCAGCAATCCCTTCTCCATTCTTTTCTCAGGATTGTGGGTACACAAACACATGCGCCTGGCATGATTTTCAAGCCTCTAGGTCTAGGACTTGAACTGCAGTCGGCTTGTGGGAGTCCAGCATCATAATTACTATGCCACCTGCTATTCTCATGAGAAAGAACAATATATTTTTCTCTTAGATTTTTATCACAGGGCATATGTGCTTGCAGGAGACAGAGAGAAAATGAGAAATCAACCCCCAGAGGGGATGGTTACACTACAATCCCCTCTCCTCTATTCTCCTCTCAGGATTTTGGGCATGCACGCATACATGCCAAGTGTGATTTTCAAGCCACCAGGTCTGTGACTCAAACAGTGGTTGACCATGTGAGATTCCAACACCTTAACCACCATGTCACCTACTGGTCCCCAAAAGAGCAAATTATATTCCCCTCCACCCCCCATTAACCAATTCCAGTTCTACTGGGTCGTCAAAAAAGTCATGACACATCTTTGCATAGAAAAACAGAAAAAATATGTTCCCAGTGACTGGATAATTCTAGTTTTAGTTTATACTCAGATCCACTACCTAAAGACAAGTTCTAGTCTAAAATACTTGAGAAGTAGTTTTCTCTATTCTCATACAGAAATTTCATTTTTTCCTCAAGTTATATCTAATAGTTACTTGACCTATTCCAAACACAGGTTGGGTACCCCTTATCTGAATTGCTTGGGACGGAAGTTTCGGGCATTTGAGGATTTGGGAGTATTCATATATACATAGCTTTAAGGTACCTTCATACAACACACATGTGTTTTATTACTACAGGATGTGTGCATTCCCCAAAGAGAGGCAGCTTCCCCAATGGGGTATGGTCATGCTGCAATCTTCTTTCCTCCATTCCTTGTGGAGAGTGGCCAATCTGAGCAAGCATGGTGACCTTTAGACATATGCAAAAACGCGGTTCCTGAAAAGTCATTTGCAGGGCAATGAATGCAATTAACATACGAATACACTAGCTGCCTGAAACTGCAGAGCAGGATCAGTCTAATGGACGTCATATGTGCTTAATCAGAATTTGCTCAAAAAGATGAGAAAAAACCTTAACATAGACCTACATGGCACCAGGTGTCTTTACATCTTCAGCCAATTAACATCTGAAAACAACTTGCTTTGCATTCCACTTCCCCTATTTTCTGCCCTTTAAAAGAATAAACCTCGGCCAGTTTGGGGTCCCACTATCTCTATGAGAGAAGTCGGGCCCACTCGATCCTGTTTTTCTATACTTGCATGTCTTTGTGTGTTTATTTTTATGTTTATTTCTAATCCACAGTCTCCCCCCACACTCAGAAAAATGCTTTCTGCCAGTTGAGTACAGTCAATTTTTCTATCCCACCAGGATTTACGGCATACATGTACACATACCTACAAGGGCTGAAATTCAAAACACACTTGGCCCTATGGGATCTGGCTGTCAATGTACAGGGTTAACTGCTGCCTTGCAGGGCTGGCCTTCTACAATATTTTTGTATCACAGCATTTTCACTGTGACCCGTCACATGAGGTCAGGTGTGAAAATGTCCATTTATGCTTTATCAAGTCAGCACTCAAAAAGTTTCAGATTTTAAAGCATTTCTGATTTTCAGATTGCTCAACCTTTAGCGGGTTGGTGTAGAAAAGCGTGTTCTTAACATTCCCACACTGGGACCAGCAGTTAGCGTAATGGCTATGTCGCTGGACTCCCACATAGTCAACCGTGGTTTGAGTCCCGGACCCGGTGGCTTGAATTTACACCAGGCGCGTGTGCTTGCGTACCCAAGATCCTGAGAGGAGAATGGAGAAGGGATTGCGGCATGGCCATCCCCCCTGGGGGGCAATTTCTCACTTTCTACCTCTCTGTCTCTCTCTGTCTGTCTGGAGAGTGCACGTACCCTATAGCAAAAACCTCCCCCCCCCCAAACAAAACAAAAACAACAGAAGAAATCCCCACATTTAGTTTGCTTTAATGTTAAGATTTGTTGATTTATAATGCTGCCCAATGTCAGTGATTTACTGACCATTCACTATTATGTGTTTAGAACAATGCTAAGTGATATTTAATACGGTAAAATAACAGCATTTCAAGTTGTGATGACTCAATTTGTACATACCCTGTGGATAACAGCTACCCACTTCATAGGAATCCTACCAATGCACTCAGCACAGACCTATTAAAACCAAACTTTTATCTTTTGAATATTTAAGGTAAGTAAATATTCCCCATAATCTTTTCTACCTAGTACTCTATACCACATTTCTTTAAGCTTCTTTCCTTTTTTAAACTACTTTTATCTTATGGAGATTCAGACAAGCTTTCTCACATTTTACAAGAAATATCATTTTAATCTTCCTTTTCTCAATTTTAGCCTATTTAATTCTCTTTATGTGCAATTACTGAGTTTTTATTTTGTTAAGTATTGAGACCTGTGCTAGTGGTACATTCATAACAAGAAAAAAGGCATGAGAATTCAGAGAATGAACTCAATGTCTAGAGTCCCTTAAAAGTACTAAAAGCTGGGCTAGACAGTGACCGAGCAGTGACACTCTTGTGATGCTGGAAATACATGGGAGTCTCCAGTTCGCACCCCAAGGTCTCCATGGCTATGCCACGCTGCAGGCAGATGGCTGTGATCCTGTTAGAGGTTGGTTTGCAGCATGAAGACCCTTTTAGGGGGTGCATGTCATCTTCTCTCCCCTAACAACCCAAAAGAAATAAATGACTAAGTAGACTTTGAGGAAAGAAAAGTACTAAAAGGTTTCTATCTATCTTTGTAAAGTACCTTTTCATTATTTAACTGCAGAACATTATTTAACTGCAAAGGGGGCCCACAGATTTAATAGATAAAATTAAATAATTTTTTAAAAAGTTAAACCATACAAAAGCACAACTTACCTGAAAGGAAAAAAATTGGACATTATTTGACAAATGATACACTGAGTATTATCAAAGCTATAACCTTTTGTTTGCACTGCAAACAGTACTGTCAAGTGAAAAAAAAAAAATCCCCGAATGAGGAAAATATTTAGAAATCACATATTCTATACAGGACTCATATCCATATAAAGAACTCTTAGAACTCAGTAAAAAGACAATACATTTTTCTTTTTTTGGGAGAGGTTTTCGCTATAGGGGTGCGTGTGCTCGCCAGAAAGAGAGACAGAAAGCGAGAAAACATCCCCCAGGGGAGATGGCCATGCTGCAATCCCTTCTCCTCCATTCTCCTCTTGGGATCTTGAGCACGCACGTGCACGCACGCACACGCACCCGTCGTGAGTTTAAGCTGCCGGGTCTGGGACTTGAACAACGGTTGACTACATGGGAGTCCAGCGACATAGTCATTACGCTAACTGCTGGTCCCAAAAGAAAATATATTTTTAAAGTGGGCAATGGACTTGCATTATTGTCATGAGAGAAATGCAAATCAAAACCACAAATGAGAGAACATTTCATACCCACTAGGACATCTACAATTGAGTACCTAAAAAGTGTTGACAATGATGTGGAGAAATTGCAACCCTCTTGCTTTCCTCATATATGAGGCTTCACTTTAGAAAACAGATTGGCATTTCTTTAAAAAGTTAAGCAGCACCACTCCTAGGTACATAACCAAAAGAAGTATCAACATATGCCTACACAAAAATGTGTACACATATGTTCATAGGATTATTGACAACAACAAAAAAGGGGGAAATAATCCAAATGTCTGCCTACTGATGGATAAATATGATGTACTCATACAATGAAATTCTATTCAGCTACACAAAGTAATTACATTTAGATATATGCTACAA